ATATGGGGTGATTGGACTTGCCAAAGTAAAGATAATTTCTATTATCTTATGTGTCCCTGGGATATTCATCAAAACAAAAAAGTCAAAATTGCTACACAGGTTTGCTAGATCAATCATCTGGCTAAAGGTGCTTAACGCAAATGTGCAGAAGATGATAAAAGACTGAATTATCGTATCTTTTTTTTGACTCACGTGGGTAGCTTAGATATCGTGTATAGTAAAATGTCATTTGCAATAATACGTCACTAGGTAGTGTGGTCTACCGCATCCGCAGTCGTTATTTTTTAAAGGATCTATTAATAATCCCAGCCAAGAGAAATATTTTTGTATTGCTATAGTGATGAACTTTCCCCAGCGCCAAGCTGAAAGAAGTTCTGGTATGTTCTATCTCACTCATTACGCAGTTCTGAATTACTAATAAAAAATATCACATCCTGATTTACATGCTGATCGTAAGACAAGGCATCGTTTGACTTGTATTTCACAGATCATGATGTTAGAACAAATTGAATATAGAAATCGGCATAATCTCCACTGATAAATGGTAGATTTTTATTATCTTACTAGCATTACTTAACATTAGCGTATTCAAATTACGTGTATAGGCTAATAGCATATTAATCCGTTTTTGAATAGGAATTAGTGGTACGTATTCCAACATGTGCGATTTGTCATCTACAGATCTCGATCCATGATATTCTTTTTATGATTACAATTGAAATAGAGGCGGGCTGTGAACTCAACCCACGTGTTGCAGAAGATCTTATTAATTCGGCAAGAATTTACCATTTATTTTTAAGATTTGATTTCAGCTATCTGCAAAATGCACAGTAAGTACGTCATCTCCTGTAGGTTAGATCAATAAATAATTAATCTGCCAACTTATTTCTGAAAAATTCTGGTATGATACATATATTACGAATCTTTGAATTGGTGTTCCTGTTATTAGAATGAGACAAGAATGAAAAATTGCGCCTCTTAATCTACCTGATTTACAGATCTTCATCCTATGAAATGTAAGGGGATGCCTCTGGCCATATTCTACATAATAAAACAAATTTCCATTTACGAGTGTTAGTAGATTTGTATGAAACACGAATAGGGGCCACCTTTTTTCTTTCTCCGGTCATTAATTCAAAAAAAGAAATACTAGCGGGGTAAGCTATCTCCCGCAGATTAACAGATGAACTTGTCAATAAACAGCAAATTCTTCAGTACTTTATTAGTATTCATAATACCGATTTCACACTGTTAGCGCGTCATGTATTGTTATTTCAACAATTAGGCATCTACGAGCAACGTAATTATGAAAAGTGTAGTTATGACAAATACACATAATAAAGCAACATAATTTTATTAAATCGGGTTAAATTCTCTTTTCACGTGTAGTAAGCATACAGTATAAAATAAACCTTTTTCCCAACGCATTTATGCAAGAGAATTGTATATTATAAAAAGATCAATCGTTACTATCTAAAAAACAGATTTGATCCACCAATAAACTCTTAATAAAATTACTACGCATCACTCTATTTACATCATGTCCAGTTTAACATTATTTAATTCTTCGGGAAGCATGCCATTTTTGGCCTTATCCACTGTTTTTTTGTTTGTTATATCGGTGATATTTATGGGAATCGTTGTCATGTGAGATTCTCAAAGGAATTAGTGGTACATATCCTCTACAGATCTCGCCCGATCCAGCTAGTTCGGAGTATTGACCATTCCGTTAGATAGTTACGTATGCCATTAATTACCGTCTTTTTTTCGAAGAAATACAAAAAATGCTTTTCAGTGAAGATGACCACAGAAGACAATCTGAATAAGCTATAAAAGAAAGGGCTTGTCGGTATTATTAGTAATAAATTATATGTTGTGGGTGGCGAAAACTTTATAATTGCTGAGATCTATAACTTTTGCGTCTTGCGTAAAAATCACCATGCCAAAAGGAATATAATTTTCCCTATACCGTAGGCCAAAGGTCATTAACCGCAGTGATTACCAGTGTATAACTGGTTTGTTGTGGGAAAGTTGCTTTGAAAATTGAAATATAAATACGGATATATATCAGCTTCAAGAGTGGGTTTGCCTGTGTACGAAGAAATGGCTGAAAGGACTAAAATTACCCTTAACTGTGTTGTTAAAGAGAATCCTATTGAAGGCCAGTTCAGAATTAAAATCGATGAAAATGATTTTATTTGTGATCTTCGAAAAGCCATAAGGGAAAATCAGAGAGGTACTTTTGAATATGGTAGTCTCAGCATCAAGTTATGGTTAGTAGATATCGATCTTGGTAATAGGGCAGTGCTTGAACAACTTCAAAACGCTGACTCAAATATCAAGTCCGTTACAGGAGGTATTAGGATTATAGAAGGATTCAGAAAGATTGGACTGCATTTTAATAATCCGGATCCAAATAAAATTCATCTTGTAGTCCAAGGTGGGCGTTTCATAATTTCTAGGTCTGAACAATAATTGATAAATTATTATGCTAATGAAAGTAGCATTTTGTATTTAGCTGTCTAAAATTGGTGCGACGTATGTGATAAAGATTTTGCATCGAAAAAAACCTTAAATAAACACAAAGAAAGTAATACTCACGACAAAATGCTAGGTTGTGAAAGAAAAGCTAAAAACCCACCTTCTGATCCTGGTTCTGATGTCGAGGGTTTTCATGACTATGATGAAGGCAATGAGGATAACTCCATCTCATTAACTTCGAACGATATCATAGCCTTTAATAAGGAAATTGAGAATCTGGGTCCTGGCGATGAAGATAGTGATGTGGGATATGATACTCCTTAGCATAAATAGAAATATTCTATCATGTAGCTGTGCGTTTTTTATGTAGTTATTGATTTACTAGTCGCAAGAAATAAATTTCAGTTCGCGATGGTAGCATAGGCATTTCGATCACCTAAAAAATGCACATATCATTGCCAAAAGAATTTTTTTTTTGACCTTGTATGAACAATTAATTTGCCAAACTCAGATATAAATGAAGTGGGTTATGGGATTGTGTGAAGCACGTTAATATTAACACATCATGAAAATCTGATCGACGGCTTCTCCTTAATTTAACAATAAAGAATTAACGCTACCCATATATAAAGATCATCAAGGGCCTCTTTTTAATAATATACTGTACATAAGAATTTTAGAATAAATTATTTTGCGCAATTACTTATTCCTGTGATTGTGACGTCTTTATTAAATGTTACTGCGCATTTATTTATCAAGTTCTCGTAATTTTCCCCAAAAGCATATTCCACAATCGATCCTGCAAATTGTATAAAAAGGTGATGTCCCGGCTAGTGAATCCTTTTATCTGCCTCATGCATGTAAAACAAAACTAATCAAACCAATCTAACTTACCATTATTTGCATCAACAATATCTCTAACCAATCAAACTCGTATTTTCCGCAAAGTAATAATAAAGTAAATTGGTTTATTGTTCGGCTAGATTCTTGAAACACGTTAATCGATTTTCCCGCCTCTATAGATGTTCCAAAATAAAACGGATATATTGCTCTTATTATATATCGGCATTTTGATCTTCGCCGAGAAAATCTCTGATAATCATCACGTGATAGGCGCAGTGAAAATTACTCGTCACAGCAAAAGTCTGGCGCAGTATATCAAATAATTTTTCCGTCATAAGCATCCGAACTTTGCGCAGTATCGTACCAGCGATAACGCAGAAAAAAATCAAGTAATCAATTCTTTGTATATGAGGCAGAATGTAATATTGTGAAAACTAAGTATATCGGTAAGTGTGAATTGGAAATACTATATTATTTTTTTTACCTCAGTTACCAATACTCCCTTAATTATAATATAGATTCGAAATTTCTTCTTAATTTTGGAGTTATATTGCGGGAAATAATCTTTAGCATAGTCCGTGCGAGTTGGAGAGATAGGCGTAGAAATGGGTGGGATAATTTATTTAGGAAATTTAGTGTAGTAAAGAGTGGGAATAATAATTTAGTAATTAGCAATAGAAGTATAAACAAATTAGTTATAGATACTTTTCGTAAAAAATGTAAGAGAGCAAAGAAATAACTTGATGCTGGGACTCGCATTAAATGGCCTAGGATCCGCGTACTCCCTCCCTCTTTGATAGCATCATACATTTCGCTTGCTTCTCTAATTAGCTATGTATCTGAAAAATCAATAAAATTTCGTAAAATTCGGGTAAGTTTTTCTTGGCAAAAACCGACTCTTCTCTAAGATGTGAATCTTTTTTTTTAAACCAAAAGAAGAGCAAATGTGGGGAGACTCCGGGCCTTGTAAAAGGACTAGCGGAGTTTCACTAGCACTTCTCTAAGATGCTTCGCGTATGTGAATCTTTTTTTTAAACCAAAAGAAGAGCATATGTGGGGAGACTCCGGGCCTTGTAAAAGGACTAGCGGAGTTCACTAGCACAACAGACAAGTGGGGAGACTCCGGGCCTTGTAAAAGGACTAGCGGAGCTCACTAGCACAAGCCTGACTCTTCTCTAAGATGAAGTAGATGAAGTTTCATTATACTTGGGCCATCGTTTTTGATCACGATTCACGAGTTTATTTGTTGGTGTAACCCGATCAAATTATCTGATCACTATCTGAGATTCGCGCTGTGAACTCAAAGTTCTATCAATGGAAAAGTCGCGTTTCAGTGAGTTCATTAAAGACATTGAGTATGACTATTTAAATATTTCACCAGAAAAAGCCTGGGATGATCTAGAAAATACATATACTCGTTATCTTGATACATTAGAACAGACAATCTCAGACGAAAGTGAATCTATAGAAGTTCTTCGACAAATTTGGACCGTACGTTTTCTTTTATTCCTGTTAACTCCTACTAAATTTAAAATAGTTTTAATTATTTCTTAATTATATAGTCAACAAAGAAACGTACTCGAAATAATTTCTTTAATAATTATTTACAAATGAGCGAAAAACTTGCTGAGGTAAGTTATAAATTCGCTCATTTACTAATGAGAGCCTCCTAATGAGTTTATGGATTTGATTATAGCGAAAAGTGCAAACGATTTCTCATAGTGCCGCATGTAATACTATATCTGCTAATGTGGAGAAGGTAGAAAAAAACGTTATCTCACGAACAAAATCCGATATGAACGATGCCGGTGGTAACTCTCAAAACCCCCTTGTTATTTCGGAGGTTTGTATTATTTTTTTTTTGTTGGTGTGTATTTAATGTTCTATATTCAAAAGTAATATGCTACAATGGATCGAAATACAAATGAAGGATGAAACCGAAGCCTTCACTTCTGCCAGCAGTGACAAAGATTTGAAAAGGAAGAGAGGGGACAACGAATCAAATGAAGAATTAGCTTCAGTGGTAAAGCATTTGATCTGTCAACATAACAAGGTATATGTCATAATGGAAAAGCTAATGTTTTCATTGTCCTTTTATTTTCGCAGGAGAAGCCTAATGTTATAAGACGACTAGATAGTACGAAAGAAGATAATACAGAAGAAAATTTGATAAATTCAGTGATCCATGCCTCCAACACTTTCGGTCAAGTTGAATTTCCATTATATTATAGTAAACTTAAATCTTTATGGGATAATCAAGATGCTGAAGCCTATCATGTAATCGATTTAGGGAATAAAGAGATATTGACCCAGATTCATGAACTCTTAGATGAGGATGAGTTGAAATTGTTACATAATATGTTAGTCTTGGATGATGAGAATATGTTCATAGACGAAAAGGCCCATAAATATTTAGAGCTGTTTGATCAGATTATAGAAGAGGAGGAGGAGGATGAGAACTTGGAAGATGACGAAGTTGTGGACGAGGTAGCAGGCAATGAACTTATAGATAAGAGTAGCGAAAAGACAAAAAATATGAAAGGAGAAAGCGAAAAGTTTAATGAATCAATTGCTAAAATGGAAGAAATAGTGCATCAACTGGATGGCTTACCCGAAAAATATCATTACCTTTCCAACACCTTTCCCATACCGGCACAACATTACGATCAATCCAAAATGCCAGATATGTTTATTATTAAGAGCGTATCTAGTCACCTCGATACTATCATAAAGATGAATGGAGCCATGATAAACACCCCTGAACGTACATGGACTGCTCATGTATTAGCATATCTGTTTTTTGTCACATTTTGTTTTGTCAACTCATTAAATTATTTTTCATGTGAGTGAAATATTGCTACAAAAATTGATGTTCCAGAAAATGACTTTAAAGCTGATGGTGTGTTGGAGCTTTTTGAGCGACCAATGCAAATTCCGTTATTTTTGCTCGAGGTATCGGAAGGCCCCAAAAATCTGGATCTGGACAAAATTAATGAAGATAGACAGAAGTTGATGAAAGAAGGCGTTTTTGCTATTAATAAGTTCATGACAAGAACGGAACTGCCAACGTATGAAGTGTGTAGTAAATTGAAAGTTTTCTTAGTTCAAGGATTTAGTAAGTTCTTTCAAACGTTTTTGTGCCTACAAACATTTCCTTATTTTAGTACTTAATATATTGCTTATTTTCAGGCGATAATGTTGAAATCGGACAAATGATTTTTATTGAACCTGGCTTGTATTTGTTTGCACCATTTACAATTCCGGCTCTCACCATCCCAACTTTCACTGATAACTTAGAACATGTACCTCGACTTATTCGAACACTCTTATGTTTACGATATAATGTTCTTAAGGAGATTAAGATATTTAAGAATTTTTCAAAAGAAGGACAACGGTATATTGCGAAACCTTTAACTAAGTATGCAACTGGTGTTACACCAGGATGGCATAAAGCTGTGACGTTTGCGGAATTTTTACCGAAAATATCAAAAGAAGGAAAGAAGAGAGGAAGAGGAAGGGGGAGGGGGAGGGGTCAGGAAGCGTAGGATTTTGTATAAATTTATTTTTATATAGTGATTATACATTTCAAGGGCTGAAATGAACTGTAAAAAAGTTTCTATTTTCTTATATCAAAGATAATGGTTAATTTCAAAATTTAGAATTCACATTATTGTTTACTGCATAACATACGTTTTATTGTGACGTGTTAAATTTTTTGCTCGTTTTCTTTGGTCATATGTGAGAATAAACACGAAAAAATATTCTCAGTATAACTCGAACTCTTATGGGTGTTTGTATTCCGAAATGCTTGCGAGTTTATCTTTATCTCACACCTATCTGATCAATTTAAGTAACGTTGCTAATTAATCTGTGGGCCTGAAATGTGTAATAAAGGATTTACTATGGTTGTCTTCATCACCAAAAGTATTTCGAAAAACATCATGCCTTTATATATTCAAAGCCAGGGAATATTTATCTCCAGAAATCTGTGATTGTAGAAGCAAGATGAAACCAATTATGTAATTGCCAAAATCTTAAAGCAGGAAGTTTGATAGTGTACTGTGCCATATGATTAATCCGTTTTTCTGCACAATTTTGACGAGCCTGTCCCGATTCTACCACCAGAAAGATAAAATTATCCGGCTAATCAGAGTCATGTGTTTCATACTGCCTCTATAATTTTTTTACCTTCATTTATTACTTAGTCGGCCAGCCCTTTCTCACGTATTATTTTACAAAATTATAATAAAGATTTTACTTTGAGTTTTTTAAACGCGTTTTGTATTTTACAAGTGATATTAATTATATTTGCTTATTAATATAGCTATAATAAAAAAACAGCTAGATCATTAAAATGCTATAAGCGCTATACAGTACTAATATCATATTTCTTATTGTTTTTCTGAACTCTTCCTTTCCCACCATAATTAATAGTAACATTAATTACATTCGCACTTTGAGAGAATGCGGGAACGGTGGCTTAGCTATCATGTTAATAGATCAAGGGAGGTGAAATCTGATTAGTCGATCATCTCGTGATTTATAAAAACTCGCCAGCGTCTGGAACTCTCCTAGAATCAAGGAACTGGCAGGAGATCTCATGTGATACGATATACAGTACATCATGCCACAAACTGATTTAGCCGAAGATGCTGTGCATATGCATGTAAATATAAAATTAGCTAGATATGACTCTATATAAATCCCTACAATCGAATAAAAATGAATTTGAGTTTAGCAATATGTAGTCTCACTAAATCGGCTACAAATCGATAAAATCGCTATATAGCATTAAAACTGCCATAATTCTCTTAACCAGTAAATTTGAATCTGTTATTTATTAGAGTATAATATTGCTAAATCAGCTAAAATCGGCTAAAATCAATAAAATCGTTATATTCTGTTATTCTACCAAAACGCTAATATGGATTTAGATAGTAAAGCCTATTCTAAGCTAATTGATGCATGGAATACTCATGGAGGCTCTGAAGATTATAGAAGAATACTTGAAAGATTAGGCTCTTTAACAAAAAAACATGATCACGAAACACCAAAAATGTGGTACTCTCGTATTCGTGATCCATTTAGAAAAATACTTGAAGAGAATTATTCTTTGGGGAATAGAATCCTTTCTAAGAATAAATATATTGAAATGTATGAAAAGTTATATAAAAATGATAAAATCCACAGTTATCCAACAAATTATATATATTGCAATATATGTGACTCCTTAGTCTTCATACCTTATACTTCTTTTAGTGCTCATATCTATCAAGATAACCATTGAAGAGATGCATTTCTGGAAATAGTATTTCGAATGAACATGCAAGAAGAAAAGAAATTCTCAAATCTATTGATAGGAAGGAATTTCAGATCTGGCAATATAAGCAATATATATTACAGGAAGAGGCTAAAATTAATCGTCTTTGTCTAGAACTTTTCTTCCAATCTACCCTATACTCAGAAAAGAATAAGTTAGTATCGGTATCATATGATATTGATGGAAATTTTACGGCTAGCTATGAAAATTATGCACAATCTAAAGCAAAAGATACTATGCCAAATGCTCCAAATTTCGAGCCAGCTTATATTTCACCTATTAGACAAAAAACGATTTTACCAACTTCTTATTAATCATCAAGTCCTAGCCAAAGGCGTTCAGAGCAAGGGATCACAAGTGAAATATTTATCTCATCTCGGTATGCTAAACAAAATAACTTATTATCATCTATAGACCATCTTAATCAGCTCACATTAAGATTGAGAGATAGTACAAAAATCACATTCGTTTAACTGATTTAGCTGAAGATTAATATCATTTAGTCAAACATTACTTATTCTTTATTTTTTGCACTATATAATCTGCATACATGATCGCCTAGTATAATTGGTCAAAGACACTATGCATGAAATGCCTGCATACGCAGAGAAAAACCTGATCTGCCTATTCTAGGTTAGATCCTATAATATATAGCTATTATAGTGAAATATTTTAGGAAGATTAATGAAGCAATCTTGGGGATTCTTGATTCCTAAATACTATAATTACGGCTTTGAAAATTTCTATGCAACAGTTATTCAGCGAGCTTATAGGAATTATAAGAAAAAACTTAAATCTTTGGCAAAACGGATTTGGGAGGTGGTGAGGAATGATGGTACTTCTGATAATAAGAAGTATTTAGGTATAACTTCTTGCATTCCTTATATTGACTGAAAATTTGAGAAGAAAAATCAATTATATGTGAGATTAGCTAATGTAACATATGATATTATTTTAAAATATTATACCAGCGAAGCTATATAATCATTAGAGGTTTAGATTGGACTAATCAGTTAAAGTAGTTACAGAATCCTGAATATTATCATATTGATAAAGATAATATTGAATATCTTATTAGAGTTACAAAATGTGAGAAATATAAGGCTAATTCATGGTCTGTAAAATCAATTTGTGAGCGTTTTGGAATATAAATTCTTACACCTCTAGCAGTGAAATTGGCCAAAGGTGTATCACCAGTGACATCTATAAATTTTATAATACTTTATTTTTTTGCGAAATGAGTAGCTATATAATCTGCATGCATGATCGCCTAGTATATCTAATTGATCGAAGGCACTATGTATTACCTGCTGAATTTTCCAAATCAGTCCTTGACCCAGATACCGAATATTATCTTAATAAAATAATATATTGTCCAGCCACAATGCATGTATGCATGTATGACATAATAAACACGTTTTGTGATCCTTGTTAAAGTGTATATGATGTAATAAGTGATAAACCGCAAATCATCTGTAACTCTGTGTGACTGCTTGTATGACGCCCCTTGATCTATTGATCTGCATGGTGAGATTACATCTCTTACTGAAAAAAATAATTTTTGAAGGAGCGGTAGAATAGCATTTATTGGGTATATGCTTCGGAGTTATAGGATATTTCTACTACCCTTCTACCAGAGCATATTTAACCAAAGGCGCAGAGCATATAATGTTACTAGGCCTTTATCACTGAGTGGTCGAGTAAGTGAAATAAAAAAGTTCGTATATGCATATTCCTCAACGCCTTTGTAATGTTGAGATCTACAATGCACATTCCGCATGTTTTACTCTTAAACATAAAATTTTAGCGTAAAGTGCCTCTTCTATCTCTTTCCCTAACATGAATGTGAGTTAGAGAGGACATAATTGGGAAATACAAGACATTTAAAAAGGCAGTATGGCAAAAAGGTATTGGAATCTACTGTACATTATTTTTTTACTTTGCCTAGTCAGCTTTATACTAATATTAACTTTTTTATTCTATCAAAACATGAAAGAATTCCTTTTAACAAGAGAGCCTCTTAATATCATCAGAATTTCCACAGCGTTGTTTGTATGAGTAGAGGAAGGTGAATGGACAGGTGTTCTCAAAAAGGAGGTGGAAAATTTTGAGAATGTTTTGAAAAGAGTCTTAGAACGAGTCCCCTCAGAAGATGTCGAGCGAAGAAAGAAACTTCAAAGTTTTGGTACCGAGAAAAAATTAGTTAAATGGGTAAGGCGATGAATTATTTTTATAATAAATATATGGATATGATGACGTGTATTTTTTAAGTTTTCTAAAGACATACTGGGATCCCGTTACATATATGCTAGTGAATGTGCTAATGTCCATTATGATATCATCACTTCCTGTATGGCAGTAGCTAGTTATATGTGCTCACAGAATATTGATCATTGAGCTCATTGCCAGCATTTTTCTGATAGTTTATA